GTCGATGTACGTCGCCTCTGATCATTAAAATGGGGACCAAGTTCTCCCGTTCGTCACCTACGCGTATAATACTGCCGTACAGGCTTCTACTGGGTTTTCGCCATACTTTCTTCTGTACGGACGAGAACCTTCAAATACACTAGACACTATTCTTCCATATAAACCTTGAGTCCGAAAATACAACTCTGTCCGAAGCTGCTCGACATGCTGAAGAATGCCGCCAGCTTACCCACTCTTTTTCTACCAAGGACCAGTGGCAGCAGCAATCCCGCCAGACTGGGGACCGTTCGGCTCCAAACTTTCCACCTGGTTCATTGGTATGGCTTCGGGCACCTGCTACTGCTCCTGGCCGCTCCGCAAAACTTTTTCCTAAATACATCGGGCCATACCGCGTTGTACAAAAAACGTCACTAGTCAACTATATCGTGGAGCCCATCATCCCATCCACAGACCTACGCTACCGCGGTCACGACACTGTCCACGTCTCTCGCCTCAAGCCATATTATGACCCATTAGTCGTTTCTTCTCCCTAATCCACCAGAATGGCGCCTTTTTCTGCGGAGGGCGATTGTAGTGAAGAAGAGGGGCCTCAGTGGCATTTCTCGGCGCCTCAGGGGCATCACCATCAGCATAAGCTCGTGCTTGCTGCGCTTGGCCGGACGCTGCTGAATGCTTCACCTTCAGCGTTCCGCTCTGTAAATAAACCCCGTCACTAATAGCGCAACTGCCTTTGCGAATTTTTTTACATATTGGAGAAAACAAGCTGATGGGCTTATCAATAATGTGTTGTTTGTTTCATACTAGGGCTATGTCATTTCTACATATAAATCTGCAAGCGTGGCTAACTTAAAATTGCACATTTATTTGCCAAACTTCTACTCCTCACCACGTACTTTGCTCAAAACAATAATTTTCTTGTGCAGGGAAAAAAATCTTTGTAGCATTTCACCGCTTTGATAAACAATTGATTTAATTGATATGTGGGGCTTAACGTCCCAAAACCACCATTAGATTACGGGAGACGCCATAGTAGAGGGCTCCGAATTTCGACCCAAATCTTTGGGGTTCTTTAACGTGCACCCAATTCTGAACGCACGGGCCTACAACATTTCCGCCTCCATCAGAAATGCAGCCACCACTGCCGGGATTCGATCCCGTGATTTGCGGGTCAGCAGATGAGTACCTTAGCAACTACACCTTCACGGCGGGGCGCTTTGATAAAGAATGAATTTTTACTTTGGTGTGGGCCTTGGTTGCTGAGGAAGCTTGCATTCCTGGCGAAATTGACACACTAAAGCGACAGCTTCACGTTTTATTTCGTTGCGTTAGGCTAAGCTCAAGTCTCCGATATTACAAGCGAAATATTTTACATGGGAAACAGTCAGATATTACAAGCGAAACACAGTCCAGTGCGACAACATCGGCGCGGCCTTTGTCGACGTACAGGAGATCCGCCAGAATATTGATGCCGGCAACATATTTTGCGAATGTCCTTCACCCGTGCGCGCAGTGCCTGCCTGCTGGATTTTTTCGGCAATGCCACCATGCAGTACATGGTAATCTATGTCTTAAACATGCTGTCGCTCCTTCGTCGCGGTCTATACCGAGTTGCGAGGCGAGATTACGCTGAACTGGCATACCATGTGTCCTCCTGAGGCAGCACTCGGGGAAGGCATCAACACAGAATCCTTGAAACATTGATAACGCCGCACTGTGGTATTACGTAAAAGGAAAATTAAGTATACGAATTGGTACGAATCAATATTGACTGTACGCAACAATAGGTCAATCGCGCATAAAAATGTTCGCATAAATTACACAAAAATAGCGGTCGCTTGCAGCAAACCAGGCTGCCAATTCAGACGTGGTGCTCGTCTGGTGACCTGAGCAGTCGGCCGGCCGTGATGTCGCACATCTCCTTCCTAGCCCCGCCTTCCGCTGCGTCCAGTGACGTGTCAACGCAGGCACCCTCTTCTTCAGGGTCATCGTTGCGAAGGCGTGGCCCAGTGGCCACGAGAGCCTCAAACTCCTTCAAGAGGTTTCTATTTCCCGGACTGAGGCTTCGGGCAGGGCTACGGCAACTGGAGCATTCCGTTGGCTCTTGTATCGCTGCACTTCGCACTCAGGTCGCTGTCGACGTGCCCTTCCGTCACGACGTATTGGATTAGGGGTCAGGCCGCCAGTGCCTCTGTTTCGGATTTGTTGCGGCCACTGCCTTCGTACACTCGCATGGCCACTTCACCGCGACCTTCGATGTCCAGTGAGATACATCGAAGGTGTTTTCAGAGGACATCGTTCACCATCCACTTCTAGGGCTGGCCCTTGTTTAATGTCTTCAAGAACCTATTCTCTGCAGAACTTAGCGCATGCGAGCACTGGCAAACTTGATAGCCTCATTTTTAGTTCATTTTATTGCATCAACCGACAATTCTCTGGGCCAGGAGACAAACTTGTGCTTTCCATAACTGCTGGCCATCTGCGAAAAGGATATCAGACTTCA